TTTTTTTTTTTTTTTTTTTTAATCAAATGTAATCTTTGCCTTGGAAAAATTTTATTGCAAATGTTACTTCAGAAATATTTCCTTTCGAACGAGATGCTGATACCATATATCAGCAGATAATATCAATAGGTAAGAGCAAGGTATTTATTTGATACACAAAAAATGTGTCAGAAAATCCAAGAACTCGGTCGTTAGAAAGCGGCAAAGCGTTGAAATATCATTCATATCGTTTTTGTTGACACAAGTGACATTTTCGAAATGCCAATTCGCGACATTTCCCGCCCCTCTTATCTTCCCGGCATTGTCCCAAATATTACAGCTCGTCAACATTAAAGCCGCATCAACGTTAAGTCTACACTTTGTAGTCCCTCGAGGAAGTTACATACGCGAGGCACCATCCGGTGATATATCGACGGAGAAATATATTGCCGTTCGCCGCGCCGTAACCGCAAACAGAGAACTACTTTTTATAATACGCCAATGCTACGTAACGCGATATTCATTTTACTAATTAGACGTTAGATACTTCATATCGTGACAGTCCTCGCCCGTCACTCACTTTGCGCAGTCGATAATTAAAATCTCTCCGGAAACGTCTACAAAGCTTCGCGACGTCGTGTATGTATTATTCAGACGGACATAATACATTTACGAACAATTCGGCAATGACGAAAAAAGAGAGAGAAAGAGAGAATGAGTCGCGTGACAAGCAAGCTAATGAAAACCTCGACGAAACATGATGTTACTGTCACGAGTTTTCTCGGTCACACACGACATTTTGGTTTTTATGTCCAGAGAGGGAGAGAAGAAGAGGATGGAGGAAGAGAGAAAAGCACATTTCGAATCTTCAGTTGCGATGATTCATCATCGCGGAGACAACTTTTGTTTGTCCGCGAAGAAAGCGTGTTGATTTAATTGAGTCGCGTGATTAATCGAACGACAAATTAAAATTCGCGCAATGTATTCTCTTCTGAAAATTGTGATTTATTGATAGAACGTAACAAAAAAAAAAACAAAAAAAAAAAAATCAACGCGCCACGTAAAAACAAATATCCGGAATTTCGTGCGATAAGCCACGCAATATTGATCACACGCATTTGTTGATGCGAAACTCGACAGCTCGCGAATGTGTGTTTCGTCCTCATCGATCTTCTGGCAAGTCGTGCGTGTTTTTTGCGTGTCGCAATAACCCGAGTACGTCAATTAGCGTTAATGTTACGGGGAATGTGTGTGCTTGTGTGTGTTGCTTAATAAAAATTGCGTCGTTTTGCGACTACAAAATAATAAAATAATTATTGATCACGACTGGATGGTATTAAACAAATGAAATATGTTTGTTAAACGTTATTTAACAATGTCGACAAACACAGAATTTCTCGCATCGATATTCCCACGTATCTACAGTAAACATACGAATTACGTAAATAACGAAAGAGACAATCGATAATTCATATTCGCATTTCCAGTACTTTTTGGCACAATCTCCAGATCGCTACTACAACGTCCGTGCGGAATTTTCAGAATACCGTCGTTGCGAAGTAGCGGTTAGATACCACTACTTCGTATAACACACGCACACACACAAGTAAACGGATCAATCGATAAGATATGTACGGAATATAGTCAATACAGACTTTGATCAACTCCGTTAGTTAGACTCATGACTGAACGTGTGTGTCCGATTTGAACACACGCGAGAACATCACTACAGAACAATTTTACATGAATTTTTATGCGCGTTTGCGCGCAATAACGAGTGTGACAGTAAAATCAAAATTTGCATTTGATTCGCGTGTTTTTTTAAATATTTTCACGAATAAAACAACAACACCGTTGAAACTAACAATACATATACACACGCACATACACGTACGATCTGTATCTCGGACACAGTCAAACGATTAATAAGACTGGTAACTTCGCCGCGCGCACGTAGATAGATATCTATTGTGCGAGCGTACAATAGAGGCGTGTCTCTAGTCCTCACGCATTCATAATACATCGCGACCTTGCAAAACGACACCACCGTCCTGTATAATACCCTTACGCGAGAGATAATGTGATGGTCCTGACTGATGCGCGGACAAAGGTGTGCATATAAATGCGAGATTTGTTCGCAAAAAGTGACAATCGATCACTAACATGTAGTTAATGGCGTTCCGAAAAAAGCGGCTGACTGTCTAGCCGGGGTCTAATTGACACGATTTACAGACGACACGCGGTCAAAGCCGATCGGTCATTTGGACGACGACACGCGATGTTTGTAATGCGATAGTTTACAGTACAGGCCTCGAGCGATGCTCGAGATTTGATAATATCAAAGTGGTTTTTTATTTTCTGGAAAAAAAAAAAAAACACGCTTCGTGGTTACGCACATGTTTATTTGTTTCGGAGATAAATTTCCATTATCACAATAATGTTATTAATGTGTTCGTTATATGCCTATGTATAATTAAATGTTAATTATTATACAAGCTCGTTATACTTGTGTATGTGCGTTTACATAATTTCTCCGTCGACGAATAAAACTGTTTTGCATATAGAAATCTCTCTTGAACGATTGCACGAGTGCTAAGCGGTTTTTGATTTTTTTTTTCATTTTTAAGAATTTGCATCAATCAATTTGCGATTAATTTTCTGCGATAACAAAGATTTCTCTTCCGGAAACATGTCCGAAAAATGTCCGAGTGCTATCGAACGTGTAAATATCTCCAAGAAGAATCTCAGATTGCAATCCGTGACTGCGTCCAATAAAGATTGCGCGAACTATCGGATCCTAGAAAGTGGCGGTTACTTTGAAAGTAACCGGGACACAACCCCCGCATGTGATGACCGAAAGGGTAGGGCCGGAGATGGGAAGGGTGCGGCCAGCTAGTGATAGATATTGTCCCATTTAGCTTGACTCGCCGTTTATTCAAGCTAAATGCGTCCGCGGTTTTTTTATATTTTTTTTTTTATCACACGCGCGATAGCGAAATTCAACAGCCGGACGACGGAGGCGGTCGTAAAGATACAAGTCGGAGATTTATGTTTAGTTGCAATATTATTTGTTGTGTTGTTCGGTCGCGACATTTAACTTTTATCAACAGGAGATAACATCACGTTAAACATCTTTTTTGTATTTTTCCTATTAGATCATCTTTTGCAACGTTCGTGTGTGTGTGTGTTTTTTTTTTTATCGAGACGCGACAAAAAATTTGTCCGTCACCGAAAGTTCCGAGAATCATTCACGAGAAAGGTCGTAAATTTGAAGACGTAACGTGTCCGATATAAATCGAGGATTACTACTGCGCGACGTGGAGAAGGTGGTTGGTTTTGTATCACGGCTGCACGCGACTTTTTAGCGTATCGATGTGAATTAAGAGGAACACGCCACTATTTTTCTCTTATTTTTTATATCGCTTGCGAAAAAGCGAATCAAAACGAAGAACGCGATATATAACCGAGTTTATTTCCTTATTTAAATTGGAAGACTAATTTGAATACAATCGGGGAGGCTATTTCGGAATACGATATAAAGTCCGAACGAAAATTAAGTAATACGTATTTGCTAATTTGAACGTTAATTAGCGAGACTCATTGCGATACGAAGGCGAGGTGCGGAAGAGATGTGCGCTACTATTAATTTGGTCACGAACGAAGATTAAACATGTAATCCCGCTGATGTAATGACTTAATATCCGCTTTTACTGCAACGAAGACTTCATTCAGAATATTCGAAACACGACAGTCTCTTCTCTCGCGATGTAATCAAATATCACGTGTAACTCAATTTGCTTACGAAGTATTTAACAGTTTTTTTTGTTTGATAAAATAAAAATCGTAAAATATACGTTTTTTATCGCATGTACATTTTTCTTCACATTTTCAGGAGAAGAAGAATACGAGACGACAGAAGGTTACGTTTACGCGAGAGAGAGAGAGAGAGAGAAACTTTGCGCGTGTGTGAAGCCTAAAATTGTCAGAGCTCGAACAATGCGTGTTTACTCTGTGTCGCGCGTCATTCTCCACGTATACAGTGTTTGCGCTTGGGTTTTCCGCGTAAATATCCGCGAAGATTAAATAAGACACTTAGAACAGATTGAGCGTAATTAGAATCTTCGCGCCACGACGGCGGTGCACAAGCAATATCTCAAACTAACGCTTACGTTTCGTGCGATATTCTAAGCGCACTTTGTTATGCAATTGACTCTCTCTCTCTCTCTCTCTCTCTCGCAATGACTTAACTAACCGTCCGAGTTCAGAGATGCATCGTACACAGAGAGATTCATCCAATTTCAACGCTCGAAATGACAATGCACATTTTCCCCAGCGGCGCAGATCGCCGCTTTCGTGATATTTACGACGATTCGGTGAAGAGAGAGAGAGAGAAAAAGAGAGAGGTGCGCCACACATATACACGTCAGAGAATGATAAGATAAATTGTACGTCGATGGGACGATAAGAACGCCATGAGGCGGAATAGAAAATTAAATCTCGCTGAATGTGCGACGATTTTTTTGCGACGAGCACGTGACGCGAATCTTCCCAACAAATTTATGTAAAAAACGAGATAAAAAACACACGGGAGGGAAATGTGAAATCGAAGCGGAAGAAAGAAACGACGTTTCGGATTATTTGCGTGGGATATAATATCACGATAATACCTCGGGATTGTAAAGTCAGTCGCGAAAGGATTTAACAGATGGCTCTATAATCCTAAGAATATAACTTGCGACAGGTGGTCGATTAACAGACGCGCGAATTACACGCGACGCGAGAGAGTCGCGACTATTTATCATTTGTGCATGCGGCATCACGACTCGCCGTGTGTTTCTCTCAATCATCGCCCGATCAATTGTCATATCTCTCAAAGTAGACGCCGCGAATTGTCGAATCACTTATCGATCACGAGAGTCAACAATTTTGAGAAATCATAACGCATATTGACACCAAAACACGCCGAGGTTCCTCCATTTCTCATTGAATCAATGTAAAAACATTGTTGTCGTGCAACATTCAATATCTTATCGCTGGATTACAAATATATATATATCGTCTTGTTCTTCTCAAGCATGAGATCACATTTTTTTAAACCAAGAAACACGAGTACTTTTCAATATCATTTATTATATAATTATATTGTTTCCTCTAATTTTAAACTGTAACATATTTAACTGTAGGCGTATCAATATTTTAAACAAATCTCGAATATAAATTTTATTGGAAATCGAATTAAAAATAAAATAAGTAAAGTTCTCAATTTGTTATTTCACTGAGATAAAACAAATCAGTTTTTTTTTGTTTTTATTCCTAATTTTTTTCTGAAAGTCGCGTAAAATAAAAAAAAAAAGTCACGAAAATTTGGCATTTAATAATGAATATCATGTACGGCTTTCCAACGCGGCTTTACACAATCTCTACTTTGCTCGGCTATCTCTTAGATACGTGACTACTATTGAGAAGTAACGGGGCGCGCGCGATCGTAAATATGCAATACATTAGAACCAGCCTAGCCGCTGGATTGCACAATCGGCTATCAGTATTCGTCGGTGGTTATCGTCGCGAGAGCCGGTCGAGCCAGCTGCTACGCTAATTGATTCGAGGCTAATGATGCCGGTCGCGTCTGTCTACAAAGAAACGCGTAGTGCGAGTGCGCGTGCACCGGGAACGCACCGAACAGCGTAGGAATAACAGGAGATGCGATCGGCTAAGGTGATGACTCTACATACTTTATCTCTTTGAAATATGAGCGTGAAACCGCAAAATTAAATCTCGTTACCTACATTATTTTTGAATAAAAAAAAACGGCTCGATGACGAATTAGAACATTTAATATATTTATAAATATTATTATAAGTATTTTTTTTAATTTTGTGTTTTGCGATTAAAGTGTCTAGTGTTCTGTCATTAAGAAAAGATGTTAATTTAACTTACAAATTAATTATATTAAGAGAAAATGATAAATAATAGGTATTAGAGTACTTGTAAAAATTTTGTTCTTGCTTTAATTTACTTTCCGGAGGCAAACGATTATCTTCCTCCCCTTAAAAAAAGTTTCAACTCTGATTTTCGTAATTGAGAAGAGAATTAAAAAAGAAAAAAAAAGATAACTCTTCTTTATTTTATCAGTATCTGTTGATGACATATTTAAATATGTACGTAGTGATCTGGCGTAATTAATAATAGATTCTATCTCGACTTTCTCATTATCATAAGTGGTGTTTATTGATGCACGTGCGATGCGGTTTAATGAAAATCGATCTCGCCGTATGGCATACAAGATCGAACACTTTCGTTATTCTAGACAACGTCGAGATTCTCTTCGGGAACGAACGGATTGAAGTTCCTTCTTCCTGCCGAGAGAAGGAAGACAAGTCAATTTCCTCCGCTGGATCGTCATGCGATCGTTTAAACGGGAACTGCACATATGAGTGTGTGTGTGTGTGTGTGTGTTCTCGCTGAGGTAATGTTTAATATTCTCACTCTCCCTCACATATTTAATCTTCAAATTTTGCTTTTGAGTGACAAACAAAAATTGTCTATCTTTTAAGTTTGTTTCTCTAATTTTTCTAAATTCAAAACAATTTTTTTTTTTTTCAAACGTAATCGAAGTCTGCAGAAAATTAGTTCGCTGAATTCGCAACGAAGAAACCGATCGCCGTAATCGGCGGTGACGTAAACAACACGCAATGCAATGAAGCATTGCGACCATCGAGTCGAGTTAAAAGTTCGCGACATTGAAAATTGGTAGAACAATTCGCATCGATGCGAGGTCCCACGAGCTATGCCACGGACACACATTCTCGCGCGCTGAGTTGTTACTCGTTCTATACGTAACGACAAGCAAGTTTCACGTACACATCACACACACACACATACACACGCATCCTCCTGTCTCTATATAACGTGCATTCGACGCTTCACAACTTTGTTAATAGTTTCGCTTATTGAATGAATGTGTAAATCAGTGAACACGGGAGAGAAAGGCGTAAACCGTTGAAATACTATAAAATGTGCTTATACAACTGTAAAAAAAAAAAAAAAAACTTCCAATTTCACATATTTACGTAATTAATACTTACATATTTAATTAGCATTAAAAGATATCACGACTCGTGACTTATTTAAACGCTTCGATCGATAGCACAGAAAAGTTGTGCAAAAGAGAAGTATATCTCGTTTCAACGTATATACTTCTCTTTTCCGTTCCGTGACATATCAGCGAGAAACCTTAGAATGTTTTTGAAGAGATAAAACGTAAAATGCTCCTCAGAAATTGTTGTTCCTACACGTTCGTCCAAGAGACTCTTAGTCTCCGCACGACAATATCTCCTCCCGACTTACATATTTGAGCGCGAGATAAAACACATGCGCACGAGAAAAAAAAAAATAATAATAATAGTATAATTTTTCTAAACGACACAACGAGACGCGGTTTCTTTCTCTTCGCCTTGAACTGAAAAGTATTTGTACTATCGAACTAAAGTAGTAAATAAATGTCACATTTATGCGTTATAATAACATTCCTTTTTTGAGCAATTAACCAATTGTTAAATTGCGTACGTTATTCCCACATGAAAAATACAGACGCGAGAGGAGGTCGCGTTTAACCGCGAAGAAAGAGAATAAAAAATACATCGCGCGAGTTAACTTCCCTGGTAAAGTACTTTTGTCTGTCTCGTCGACCTTTTAATGATGGTCAAGGCCGATGGCAGACACAAGAAAGTGATTGAACTACGTCATAGAACGAACGATTGACCATTTACGACGTGTTTTGTCGTTCCTTTTACTCGGGCATGAAGGAACGCAATATAATTGCACTATACGCTGGATATTTTATTATTCAATAAAAAAAAAAAAAAAAAAAAAGCGTTAGTCGATCCGATGAATCGAGATTATAAAACGAATGAGAGATAAAAAAAATTGCAATTTACACTCGGAGATATATCGCGTGCTTTTTTTTTTTTTTTAAGTTAAATATTGAAATAAAACATTTATCGCGTATCGTTAAAAATAGTCTCTCGTTCGAGAACAAAATTAAATCGAATTTAAAATAATCACGCGGCGTTTGCGGTTGTGAAATATTATGAAAAATTGAGAGTTGATTGTGCGTTCGGCAGTTTCCGTGAACGCGAACATTCGAGCACCTTTTGTGACTCGCGCACAACGGGATTCGTAAATCAACTTCCGCGACAGATATAAATCAGCTAAATCGTAACTTTGCTTCGCGAAAATGTAAACAGCGTGACGCGTTTCATGCTTATTACGTTGCGAACAATCGCGGCCTTCATAGTTCTGATAAGTATGCGAGACTTGCGAAACTCTTTCTCTCTCTTTCTTTTCCTCTCTCTCTCTATCTCTCTCTCGGTCCTCTCTCGTTCTGAACAAATCTCGATAATATCGGCGGTCAATCTCGATTTATTTACCGGCCGTCCAGACATCGGCGACAAAAGACAGGTCGAGGTTTCAGATCGCGCGGTCATTGGGGACGTCACTGTCGCTCCAAATTTCAGTGTCTTTTTTCTCACATTCGTAAAAAATATCTGACGCAAAAATAAAATAAAAAACAAACAACGGGAACACCAACATTAAATAAAGAAATTTCTTTTCCGTTCGTCGCTCGAAAGAGACGCTCAAAAGTTTTTTCAGGAAGAATTACACGTGATCATTTATTTCCTAATGGCAATTATGTCTGAACAAAAAAACCGATTGCACATCGGATAAATTGTTACTAACAAGGTTATCGCACAGGGTGAAAGAAAAAACCACGTGTCACACATGCGACATGCATGAACGTAACGCGCGCGATTTCCGTTGGCGGGGATGTGTTGACAGATCGTGCGAAAGCGACAGCGGGTGATATGCTTGGCGAATTGTATCCCTAGCACACACCACGTTCGCAGAAAGTGCATCCATTATTCAGAAACGAACGGGGATGAAGAGAATCGATGTATGTCGACCTAAACGCTGTCCGTGCGACCGTTAGGCGCGATAATACCGCGGTCGACCGAGCTCTTTTTTTCCAACAATGCGAGCAACAATCAAAGATTGCGGCTATTTAACATGTAATCGGCCGAAAAAAGCTAGCGAACGATGCGCTACATAGACAAGTGTGCAACATATTGCAATTCTTATGCGATAAATATGCAAGAGAGTTGACACGAATAAAGTTATTAAATTACATAATATCAATATGTTTACAGCAATATATGTTATATTATTTACATATATCAAAATATATTTACATATGTATGTATATATTGTACTATTTACGTATATATTTATTTATATAATATAATAAATTTTATATATATTATACAATGTATGTAAATATATTTCACATATATAAAAATATAAAATAAAGTAATAAATATATTTAAGTATATAAAAAAAAATACGAGATGCTTACCCACACTGATACAGATATTTTAAACTTATATGTGTGTTTTTCAAAGATGAAATCTGTGTTTTCTCAGATATACAAAAAATGTCTTTGAAAATTTATATACGAGGAAAATTTATATATAGAATATCTGAATAGATTCTCTCTAAGAGATCTCTCTCTCTCTCTCTCTCCAGAGTTGAATATCAAACAGATCGACGATTGTTTGCGAGCCCAAGTCGCGATTTTATTCTCCGAGTCACTTATCGCTATTTGCACCGCGATTATTCACCTGGCGACAACAAAGGAGCGCCTTGTCATTGCCGGGCGAAGACGATTCGCGCAGCGCGAGATACCTAGGTTTTTTTTTACACGCGCGCTGTGTATCGCCGCGCGCAGCAAGAAGTGCATGACGGATTTGCATAAGCACGTGAGACGTATCCTCGCGGCGAAAACGCACGTGACGTCGAAACGAGGTTCCGAGGTCGTGCGACGGTCTCCGTCACGTTGGAGAAAGGATCTTCGCACTGACATCGAGGACATATTTTCGGACACCGAGAGAATTGCGCAACTAGGACGCAAGAAGAACATTTTGTAAATTTATGCGTACTCTTTTTTTCGCGACGCTTTTATATCGGTCGAAACTTCTAGGATCTCACTACAAAGAGTAAAAAAAAAAAAGAAAATATTAAGTTACATAAAAAGTTTTTTTGTACAACATTTAAAATCGTAAAAACGTTAAAGAGAGATCGACAAGTCTGTTGCTCCGAGAGTATCAAGCGACATCGACTGTACAACAGGGTTCGTACACGCGAATCCGCGATTTATCAATTTGTTTTTGCTGAAGAGTGTCGTCGACGTGACACTTGCTTTTAAAGACTGCAATCAATGGGGATCCTTAGCATTGGCCCGAGCCAATCTAACTACTAGCTCGGCAGAGACGAGCGCAACAAGGAGCCGCACGATGTATCAACTTACGTCATTCGCGAGAACGAACGCGAGACTAACTCTGCTTAAATCGCATTCCTCCGAGAAGAAGTGTCTTCGAAAAGTAAATTTTGCCGAAAATTCACAGCGCGCGCTTGAGATCGCGAGAAATAAACAAGTTGTAAATTTCCGTTTGCAAAAATGATTATTATTCGAGCAGTAAATCAAATGTACACACGCACGCACACACACACACACACACCAGACCGCGTACGAAAATAAAAAAATTAAAAAAAAAAAAAAGAAACGAATAAATATTGCAATCGGAAAGAGAGAATAAAAAGGAAAAGAGATAGAACGCAGTGGCCGCGATGCCGCAGTAATTATCGCTGTATCGAGAAGAAAGAAAGAAAGAAGAGATATTGGGTCGTGAACTAGAAGCGCGCAAATGATGCGTGTGTTTTTCAGCGTGAACGAATCGCGCGTTACCGCACACAAAAATGATATATATTTCTTATTTCCCGTACAAGAAAAACACACCACGTTAATTTTCTTGCGAACATTAAGCGCGTAATATTTAAAGTTTATTTCTTCGAAAATATCGTGCGCGCAAAAATACAAGAGTGTATTTCTTTGCAAGAGTTGTTAGACGCGAATAATACATCAAATGAAATTCGCACATTAACGCGCGCGCGAAAGTCATCTCGCTGTTAAATAATGATATACTTTCTTTCTCGTGCGATCGTGCGCTTGCGCGTTATTACGCAATTAAAAAAAAAAAAAATCTCACTTCTCCTCCCACACTTACGTACTTTCATGCGTCGCACTGACTTTTTAAAATAAAATAAAGAGAGAAACAAAAAAGTGCGTGTAAAAGCGCGCGACGAACCGCGCGCGCCCGCGATGCGAAATTTTTGAGGTCAATGCGTCTTGCGTCACGGCGTGATTTTTCGCGCGTCGTGTACACACACCTCGAAATTTGGTCTCTTGTCCCTCGTCCCAGATGCGTACCTTCTCTCCCGTCCTTCTTTCCGTTCGGTCGCGTGCGAATTTCGACATCCCGTGATTTCGAATTCGCGCGTGTTTCGACTCTTTTTTTTTTTTCTTCTACCGATTATACGCAAGGGTTTTTCCGTGACGATAATTAATCTCGTCGACGAACATCGTAGCCGTTAACTAGCACACGAATCTCGGCGATTCGCGACAACGCGAGTCTCGCAGGTGACGGGGAAACGTCGTTGCCGGACGACGGTTTCTCGACACAAAAAACCTGTTGCTTCGCGGCGACGACTACGCGAGTCGCCGCGTCTCCCTCGCGCGCCGTCACCGTAAAAACCTGGGCTCGCGGCCAAGTTCGCGGGAGTCGCGAAACTCAACCGTGAGCTAGAAAAAGAGAGAAAGAGAATTGACTCAGAATCGGAGCGAAGGTGAACAATATAGAGCGGCGTGTTGCTCTCGAATTTTGCGGAAAGTACGTACACACCGCGTGACGACGTCACGTTTACCTGTTCGTCGTTTTCTTTCCGTCGACCTCTCGTCGAATGTTCTACGCCGAGCGACGTACCCCGACACCTGTTAACGTCGCGTGCGAGAGGACAAGAAGGCGAAGAGCGACTCTTAAGATCGGCCGCGAACGGCAGCTTTTTTCGGCCAAAGAAGAAACGCTTCTTTCGACGACCGCGCGCGCGTCTCGTTGTTGTCGCGCAGACGCCCGGAAGACACGAGGTTGTTTGACTGACGTCCCCGCGTGTCTCCGCGTGCGTGTCTCCGACGAACGCGTTACCGTAAGAGATTATTGTACGCTTACTTACCGTGAACAGCTAGTCCCGCACGCAGCACGGACGACGGCACTCGGCGAACACGGCGAGGACGACATCACCCGCGTACCACACCGCACCGGCCATATTGTTTACTGAGAGCGGATTCAACTCCACTGCCTGCGCGCACCGCGCCGCGACACTGTCGCCATCTTGTCGAGGAACCGGGTACTGCGATGTTGTAAAATTCGGAAGCGCGCGTGATTTGTCGATAAGTTACCGCGTGATTCTAATAACGGTTCTCTTCGACGATCTTCGAAACAACAGAATATACGAATTTGTCGAAGGCGGTCACGTGACGGACTAGAAGGCATGAGCAGAGAAATATCTCAAGCGACGGTTAAACATTAGCCCGAATACCTAACCTAACCTAACCCTACCCTACCTATTGTAGATTCGAATGAATTCGAATCTGTTCGCATTCTGTTCTGGTATACGTTCAGCTGATGCGCACTTTAGTCTGCTTCAGTCACGTGTACCGGCGTATCAAGAATCGAAAGAGAAGTTTGATTCTTCACAATTACATTTATTATATATGAATAAATAATGGGGAGAGTTAAAAAAGTTTCTCAGGCGATTAAAGTGCCTGGAGTACAAAATACACAACTTAAAAAGGTAATATTTTCTTAACATACGAGTGTGTTTTCGTCATCATCATTTGTAATAAAAACATATCTTCGTATTTCTACAAAAACAAACTGTTAAGATTAAAACGTAAGATTGTTTTCTATTTCTACCTTCTTTTCTTTTTTCTAGAAAAAAGAAAAGAAAGAGAAAGATAACAAAATTAATAAAGTACTGTTAAGTGGCAAAAATAAAAGTGACTTGAAGAAGCCAAATGTATCTCGCAAAATAGTCAAAAATGTACTCGCAAATGCGCAATATAGCAAGACAGAAAAACATCATGATCTTAGAAATAAACATGCTGCAGAAAATCAAAGTGCAAAATCAAATGATCCGAGTAACAATAAGAAAACAAAGGTACTCGAACAGGTATCAACTAATGCAAACGGTAAAACAAAACGCAAGCAGCAAAAACAATTGTCAACTGAAACAGAGATTAAAGCAAAACGTAAGAAAGGAAATAAAAATCAAGATACAAACTCCAATCAGATAAATAATAACACTACTGTTGCAATAAAAAAAGATAAAAAAGTACAAATGTCTAAAGAACTAAAAGAAACAAAAGACTCAAGACTTGGTAAAACACAAAAAAAAAATAAAAACTTGAAGAAGCCAACAGAACATAAGACTAACTTAAACCTTAGTAATACAAAAAAGAAAAGACTAAACAAAAAGAAGATGAAGCAGGTGATTAAACAAATACGTGCCAGCCCAGAAGTAGAAGAGAAAAATTCTGCAAAAATAGTAACATTGAATGAGCATGAAATGAACTTTAATCAGTTGAAAGAAATGTTGGCTAAACCACGCAAAAAACAACGTACGTCTTCACTTCCATTAAGAGAAAGAATGATGGCACAGTTAAGGTCATCTAGATTTAGATTTATAAACGAGACATTGTACAAAAATCATAGTTCAGAATCCAAACAATATTTTAAAAAAGATTCTGAAGATTTTCAAGCTTATCACGAAGGATATAAACAGCAAGTTAAGCAATGGCCAGTAAATCCATTGGATGTGATAATATCATCAATTAAAAACATGTACTATATTTTGTCTTATTTTTAATAATATTTTTTACTGATATACGTGTGATACTATCATTTATATAAATATTTTATTACTTAGGCCCAAGAGCAATATAATAGCCGATTTTGGATGTGGCGAAGCAATACTTGCCGCTTCAGTACCTCATAAAGTACATTCCTTCGATTTTGTCGCACTAAATGATAGAGTACAAGCTTGCGATATGGCTCACACTCCATTATTGGCCAGCAGTGTCCACGTTGTTGTGTTCTGTCTCTCCCTAATGGGAACTAACCTCAATGACTACATACTGGAAGCTAATAGAGTTCTCAAGAAAAAGTAAGTACAAGTAATCATTTTGATTGTTGTAACAATAATACAAAATAGAAAATTAATGCTTTTGTTTTAATAAATTTAGCGGTGTTCTGAAGATAGCCGAAGTCGAAAGTAGATTTTACAAAGTGAGAGATTTTATAAGGGCGTTAGACAAATATGGTTTCAAAAACACGTGGAAAGATTTATCTCACAACTTGTTTTATTTTATGGATTTTACAAAAGAAAGAGATATTACCATGCGAAGACAGAATCTTCCCGAAATTAATTTGAAATCATGTTTATATAAAAAACGATAAGATTTACATTAAGCATTCTACCACAAAGATAGATATTAAACATATAAAACAAAGATTTATGTTTGAGGATGACATGTTTCGTACAAAGAGATTAAAATAAGATTTAAGTTCAAGATTTGCAATTTTTTATTTTTATTTTTATTTTTATTTTTATTTTTTTAGAAACAACACGGTTTTGTTTACTATTTATTTTAACACTTCGTTTTAATAGTGTTGTATTTTTTTTTAATGTAATGCAGATTTATTCTATGAATTGTTATAATGCATTTGTATTCCGCTTTATTATTTGATATTGCCAATCTTTGAGGAAATATCAAACGTTACTTTTGGATACTTAATCTTTGTGTCTGCTTAAACAATGTGTCATTCTTTAAAACACATTGCTCCATAAGACACAAGTTGTAAACACACTTCTTGTGAGATATGTTTAGCAATAATTTGTGTGTATGAGAGAAAGAAAGAATAAAATAATTTAGGAAAAAATACAGAACTATTTATTTTAAAAAAATAACAATTTTCTTAATTCTCGATTGTATAAACTTAGATCATTTAACTTATAGATAACAAACAAAGTGATAAACAAAGTGATGTAATTCATATATATACAATTTTTTTTAGAAAAGATACACACATAATTTTTTATAAAAGATAAAAAAAAAACATTTTTAACCATTTAAAAATGTATGGAAATTTACAAATTTGCTTCTAATTGACTGAAATTTATACCGTCGAGAACATCTTCACATTCATCTTTTAAGTCTTCTGCTCGTTGCAATATTAAAAGCTGTAATTTATCGAAAGTAATTAATAATTACACACGTGTGTAAAATTGAGTAATTTTAATGATACATTTATTTTTTGTATAATAAACCTTACTTTTGCTGCGGCAATAATTTGTCCAACCATTTTGTTAGTTAAGTATGGAATTTTTTCTTTTATTTCTTTTGGATTGGCTTTTGCTATAGATTGTAAAGTTTTATAGCCAGCTTTGTATAGTTGACGGGCTCTACCCTTTTTTTAAATGTGTTAAAAAAAGATGTAGATTTTATTTCTAAGTATTTTTAAGCGCAAAATATTGTAAAAGAATACAAAAACGATATAGAATTATAGTTAAGTGACTTACTATTTTAACGGACGGCAGTTCCATCAATGTTTCCAATTCTGATGGACAACAGTACGATAATTTTTTACTGAACACGCTTAACATCTCTGTAAATGCCCAGAATTCGGGTAATTCCTGAAAAAAAAAAATTCAAAAAAGATTAGAAGTTGAGTGTTTCTGGTATATATATATATTTTTTTTTTATTATTATTCAATAGTTTTGTTTTATTTACTTGGCAAAATCTCACTATAGAGGAGGCAAATGATGAGGCCGCGTTTAAAAGACTTTGTACAACACCTCTGTTAACTTGATACTTCTCAGCAACAAAATATACTGAATGATGATTCCACAATTCGTGTATTATTAATGTCACGTAAAATCTGTGAATTACTCTCTTCTCAACAGACTGTAATCATATTGAATGTGAATAAATCAGTATGTATTTTTTCAAAGAATTACATTATTTTCTTAAAATAAACTAACCTTGGGCATCATACCATCACGTAATTTATTCGCTATAGCTTCCGTTATTCCGAGAAGTCTGGCAATTTGCATTTGACTTTCGGTTAAGGACAATATCTAAAATAACATTGTGAAATTAAAAAATTGTATACTAATATTTATAATATTGTATATACATATATACGTGTATATTTACCACATCATAGTAGATACTGCCAATGGGGGTAATTTGAGATGCAGTGTCGTAAGGTGTCACAAGATACAAGAGGTGGAGATGATCCATTAAGATCAAATGTTTCTGAGCTGTTTTCAAATCTTCGTACAGTGTGTATGCGATGTTTAAGTCGATCGGTCCTATATCAAAAAATTATAGAAAACATAGAAAACGTAGTCAAATAGGCAGATTAAATCGGTATCTGTTTGCTATCTTACCTTTCATTGCAGCTTTTCCCAAGTCACAAAGCTGAAATTCAGTTTCTTTTGTAAACTTGATCGTTTTTACTCCTTGTCTGACCGATAAAGGATTTTCTGCACGCTCTGGATTCTGAGATGGAATTACAACAGTTACATTACGATCGCTGGTAGACGGACCTGGACTTTTAACTTTAATCACGCCGCATTTCAATAACGCCGTTATCGTTGTGTCCGTAATTGTCTTTAGATCAACGTCTATTCTAGTTTGTTGAATATTAAGCAGAGTTGCAGCTGTCAATTTATGTAACTCCGATCTGGTCGCAGCTATGTTTAATTGTATTGCACTTAGGATCAAATTGTTGAGCCCCCTGTCTTTTTCTATATGCAAACTACTTAATGAATCGTCCATTTGCGATATCAGTAGATCTTTCACCTGTTGTACATAATGAAAAAATATTCTTTGAGTCTTTTAGGATAATCGATTTATATGTAGAAAAATCTAATTGCAATCAATTCGGCAAATTGTTCACCTTTTTGATCTCGGAAGTTTTGCAGATAAGTATACTCTCTCCTAAAACTCCCATACCCGCGCGACCAGCGCGACCGATCATTTGTTTGTATCTACTTAAATTTAAGAACTGATTACCAACATAAGGACTACGTAGTATTACCTGAAAAAATTATCATTATAAATAATTACAATAAAGATCAGTCACTGATGTTAATAACTTAATTACAATTGGTCTAGATATGGAGGAGAGATTACGTTTCTAGAAGATACGCAACTAAACTCTACAATAATTTACCCTTCTTGCCGGCAAATTGACACCAGCGGCTAAAGTTGAAGTGCAACATATCACGCACAGAGTACTTTCTCTGAAAGCGTCTTCCAGCAAACGCCGTTCCTCGGATGTGAGACCCGAATGATGATAAGCTACGCCGAACTTGATAGTCTTTCGTAAGATAGGACACAGTCCCTCCTCGGCCGTGAGCGCATTTAATAAAGTTTCTTTTTCATTTACCTTGTAATTAAGCAAACTCCTGAAATAGCAATTTTGAAAAACGCTATTTTTTTAGAAATAATGTCTAAAAAAAAAAAATAGAGAAAATAACACGCGATGTCTTACTTAGGCAGAACTTTGGCCAATAATAGAGCCACATTTTCGCAGTTTTTACGACTTGAACAAAATATGAGACACGAATCGTCCGGCGCTACTTCCATTACCAAACCGCCAATTCTATCTGGATCTATTATTGCTATGTCCTCTGAATACTTTGTGTATATAACAGAATCAAAACAGCTTATAATTAACTATTCAATACGCAAAGACCTTGTGAAAAAAATACAACTCAATTAAATCTCACATTGTAGTCTTTGCTGTTCATATCCACCAACAATTCCTCGCTATTCAAATCGACTACCCAAATGTGATTCTCGCATTTCACGTATTCTGTTATCTGAACTGGTCGAAAATTTTGGGTGTACGTGTCTGCGTTCAAAAATTGCGCGATTTCTTTTAAATTACCTATGGTTGCACTCATTCCGATCACACGAATTGTATCTGTGTAAAATTGGCATTTTATATTAAAAATAACTTTTAAATATCATATTTTTGTTACATTGCTCACCACTGAAAAACATTATCTTTGTAAGAAGTCCTTCCAAAGTAGCACCTCTCCCACCAGACTCTCCGAGCAAGTGTAACTCGTCAACAACGATGATGCCAATCTGAGACAAAAAAATTTTCTTTTACACTTTGCGTCATTTCTTTTTTTTACCGCCGAAAACTTTTCACTGCAATTGTTCTGATTTGCTACAAAAATCTCAACTTACTTCGGCCAAACGTTTTGTTTCTATCAAACTATTTGCAAGACCCACAGCTTTCTCTATAGTGCATATGTAGATGCTGTGTTTTCGCCGTCGTTTGATCGGTGGATAACGCCCTTTCGCACCGGCGTATTCTTCGACTAAAAATCCCAATTTTAATGCCAATACAGCCATTGATTGAACCTGTGTAGAACAATTTTACAAGTTTAATTTTAAAGAAACGTGCGCAAACATACGAAAGTATGCAAATGCTTAAAAAATTGTGCTTAAATTATATTTTTTAAACAAAAATATTTTCAAGTGTCATACTTTCTCCTGCACCAGTGCCACGTATGGAAGTATAAAAATCGCATTTTTCTTGTTGCACATTATCTCTCTGTACATCAAGATCTCCGCGACTAGAGTTTTGCCGCCGCTCGTTGGCAGAGCATAAATTAAATTCTTTTTCGTGAGGGTGGCCAGCTTCAAACATTCGTCTTGCCATTCTGTTATGAAAGAAATAAAGCAAAGATTTACATTTACAAGTATGAGCATATATACTTCATTGTGATTTATATAAGCGCAATCTTACGATATAGATAACGAATTCCCTTAGTTTCCTGAATCAATTTTTTCACAGCATCCGACAAGCCGTAAAATGCGGATGAAGAAGATTCTGAAGAAGTTGTTTCCTTATTTTCTTCCGTTTTTTTAGACGGGGAGTCGATTAAACGCAGTCTTTTCTTCGGGATTTTACATCTCGTTGCGGATTTGCATTTGCCTGTCAAAACAGGCGATTTGTTATTTTCTCTGTTATCGTCTTCGCTGTTACCCATCAGGATATCATCCCCAAAGTTCGTGATAGACAAACACGGTATATTCGTAAACGATTTGTCTTCGTGTAATTTGCTGTTGTTGTCTGATGTCGTTCTCTCAACATTTTGATTGGATTCAGATAGCGGCTTGACATTGTGCGATTCGGAACGATTGAGCGCGTCGTCTTTGCAGAATGTATCGAATATATTAAAATTACTAATATTATTATCACAATTATTTACAAATATGTTCTCCTCGTTCTGCGAGTCGAATTGAGCGAATACTTGATTCATCAGAGATCTATCCAGCCACTCGTTGGGTGACACACTTCGTGATTTTGACATGTTGTTTATTGGAGCAATTTTCACAGCTGTACTCCGCCGCGCCGTCCATTCCTCCTCTGATGCCGAGCAGCTGTCGTACTCCTGAGAGAATTTCCTGAATGAAGTGTGCAGTCCGCTCTCAGCTTCTACATTGCACAGTAATGTATCGTCCAAGGACAGTAAGGTATCGATGGCGTTCGGTGACTTAGATCTCCTGTTGTTGTTGTTGTTGTTTAAAAATACATTTTTTTTATTTTCTTTCTCATCGTCCGGCCCTTCCATCTGACAGATCCGTCGTGAAAGGATTAATCCTCATGGAACTTTTCAAGACTTTAATCAGAGAATTGTTGCACACACAATTTATTTTGCGGACCGAATCTCGCGCTATTGATCAGCGTAGCGTCTCTCGTGCATCTCTCGTGCGAACCATAACCTCCTCCTTCACGATCATATGATTTGCAGTTGCAACTACTAATCCGGAAAGAAAACGAGAAGAGCTGAGCGTGTCGAACGGGTTTCGTCGTTGGTAACAGATAGAAGATGCCGAAGAAGAAGACCGGTCAGAGAAAAAAAGCCGAGAGACAGAAACTCCGGCAGAAAGAGATCAGAGCGGCCAAGGAACAGATTGACCTGGCGAAATTTCCTTGCAACTCCGTAATGGTGAGTGTTCCCTTGATACCCACAGTAACTTACCCCCGAAAAAAAAAAAAAAAAAAACAAATTATTTTAATCCAGGAATGCGATAAGTGCAATAAAAAGCAAAAGAGTCGTGCCTTCTGTTACTTCTGTCAAAGTCTTCAACGTTTGCCCATGTGCGCACATTGCGGCAAAGTCAAGTGTATGTTGAAAACAGGAGATTGCGTGGTGCGTCATCCCGGTGTGTTTACCACGGGACTGGGAATGGTGGCAAGTAAATCAGCATCGTTTTTTTTTTTTTTTTTTGTTGCTGTCTCAAATCTAGAAGAGAAGATTTCAGACAATTTCACTTTCAGGGAGCCATATGCGATCATTGCGAAGCTTGGGTGTGTCACGGAAGACGTTGCCTGACGTCTCACGCTTGTATCTGTCCGTTGATGGATGCTCTTTGTCAAGAATGCGAGAGAGGAGTCTGGGATCACGGCGGCAGAATATTCAAGTGTTCCTTCTGTGATTGTTTCTTGTGCGAGGACGATCAATTCGAGCATCAGGCGTCCTGCCAAGTTCTGGAAGCTGAAAATTTCAAGTGTAATAATTTCAATAAGAAAAATCACATTGTGATTTCGAAGAATTTAAATTAGAAAGATTATGTCAAATTTAAATTTTTTTCACAGGCCAATCCTGCAATCGTTTGGGACAATACTCTTGTCTCAGGTGCAAGACATGCTACTGCGAGGATCATGTTCGCAGAAAAGGATTTAAATACGAGAAGAATAAGCCTATTCCATGTCCAAAATGCAGTTATGAAACGTCACAAACTAAAGATTTAAGCATGTCGAGTAAGGATCGAATAAATAATTCTTTTTTATACAATTGATAGTTGTGTTACAAAACACGCGCGTAAGTCTATTTTATTTATTTGTTTTTACAGCGAGAAATCACAAGTTTGGTAGACAAAATCAAGGAGGCCCGTCTGAGTCTGATGATGAAACTGAATATAACAATTATGGTACAGTTATACTTAAAACGCTTTCTGTTTTTCTAGCGAAGAAATTAAAATTTCTCAATATTTTCATATATTAATGTTAATATACACACATTTTCCATCTTTAAGAAAATATTTGCATTTTTGAATTAGGAAATCAAGATTCTTGCTATGGAACTGCTAGTTACGCCAACGATGATGAAGATGAGGATGATGATGAGGATGATGATGACTATGATGATGACGAGGATGACGATGATGAAGACGAAGAGGACGAAGATGAGTCGTCAAGTGTGGATGAGGAGAAGAAAGACAACAAAAAGATGGAACCAACTTCAAGCAGTAATAAAACTAAAGTTTAACACTTACATAAAAATATGCAAAATAGCAATAATTGACAAATAAAATGTTAATTATCGTAAAAAAGTTTAGTAAGAAAGAAAAATAATTCAACTATTTTGTGAGAGAAATAAGGATTAATTTACAATTCGTACATTTATCGTAACATATATATATTTAATAGGCGCACAATATTTAAATTTGATACTTTTTAAATTAACAAATATACGCAAAAAATATAAGAAATAAAGTACTGAAAACTGAAATAATAACGAGATTAAATTTGTACGTTTCACAAATCTCCAAGGTAAGGTGTTTATGCAAATTCTTTATTCTCTAAATTTGATTTTTTCTTCTTCAATTAAATTTGAAAAAACTATTAAATAAATAATTTTTTTAACCATGTCAATTTTGTGAACACAGTGTTGCATGTATCAAGAGAAAATGAGAAGAAATAAACATTTATGTTTATTGTACATGCTATTTTACGCTTTTAAATAAAAAATACATAAACATTTATAAAATCATACATCTTATTGTATACCATGTGTATATTTAAATGTGTTATACACGTAACGTTGTATATTCTGATGGGAATGCAAATGTATGCGAACCAAGAGCATTAACACAAGGCAACAATCCAGCATTTGGTATGATGTTCCAGGATAACGTTAACGTTACATTCTTATTTCCTCTGCAAAAAAAAAACAGAAAACATTCATATGAACAAGACAAAGAACGTTTGCGCTTTTCTATTTTAATGTATAAAATTACAATCACATGTTTATCAAAAGATTTGTTACCTGAGACCTTTGCCATCATCCCAGAAATAATATTTTGTGTTCATATTCTTGAAATCAAGTACAGCATTGTCTCCACGAAGCATTATCTTATCCCATAAAACTACCTGTACCCGGCAAAATTAAATTTTTCACAAATTTACACAAATTTAAATAGAAAAGAACACAAATGTAACCACATTGAGAAACTTACCTGATTGAATTCATTGTTTTCTGTTTGATATTCTGCTGTGAGATATAAGAATAACTGTTTAACATTCCAGTTGAACAATGGAGTGAGATGTATAAATATATAGGTAAGGTAAATAAAGATAAACATATGTAAAAATGTTATTAAACAAGATTGCAAGTAATTTTATAAAAAATATTTGAAGAATAAATATCTATAATCTCAGTAAATTTATCATTGTTCAGAAAAATAAATATTTAAATGTTTTCACTGGCATATGAAAGAATTATTTGATCTTTTTTTCACTAGCATATGGAAGAAAATTTTTGTATAATAACATATGTAAAGGATATCAGTTTGCAAGTCAAAAGTCAAGTAACCCAAATCATTTTTTTCCCTAGATGCACTATAATCTGGCACATTCTTTCTGTAACAAAAAAAAAAACATGTTTATAACATATATCTTGTGCATGATTCTTGAAATATATAAGATTATTTATCCATCAGTTTTGCACATATACCGTGATCACCATTATTATTTAATTGTTTTAAACTATTCACAAGAATTTTTCTTTCGATGTCACAAAATACAAAATAACATTTAAACACACGGGGATCTTCTACAATGATGATTAAAAAAAACTGTGATGATACACTCGTCGTACTTACACAACAACTTTTACAGTATTTAAAGTTGCTTTCGCTCTATAATCGATGAAAACTGTTGAGAGAAAACAGCAAAATGTTAAACAAGCCGACACGCTTAAAGTATATGCTACAATAGCATTTGCGCGTGTTAGGACCGTGTGCATTATTGTGCCTTGCTGTCGTCGGCAATTGTTATGTCGGCAAATGACGTGTCTCTATCAAACTAAAGCAACTTAATTGCTACAAGTGTGTGCATTAACGAATTTCTAACCGCAATTTCTGACACGCATTATTTTCCTGAAAAGCATCGGACCTTCAACGTCACCACTTGAACGAGGTTACGAGCAGCGATCGCCATCTAGCTGGAAATTCGAACGTTAGGCTGGATCCTCATGCAGACACCGACGCTTTGACACCAAACATTGATTGGTGAAAAGCAAGTGGTGAGGGTAAATTAGGGTTGCCAATTTACCCTCACCATCTGCTTTTCACCAATCAACGTTCAGTGTCAAAGCGCCGGTGTCTGCATGAGGATCCAGCCTTATTGTGCACGGTAGTGCATCTCAGAGCAGAGAAGCTAGCCGCTTCAGTGCGCTTCAGTCAGTATTAGAATTCTCTCTGGTAGAGTTAAGAAGCAATCACAAAAATGTCTGTGTTCTTTGTAAACGCGTAAGTAAAGCACATTTCTCATTATAGGTTAGGTTAGGTTAAATTTCTTTTATTTTTACAGTTTACATTCTGTATGTAGCAGGTATATTTGTGAAAATATTTTTATAGAAATATGCGTGTATTTTGTAAAAATAAGATAGTAGATTAAATATAACAGTAGAATTATCACATTCTGTCTGAACAGAAATCAGGATAGCGAAATAGAAGGAGATTCAAATGGAGGAGGAGAGTTGCAGATTGCATCTCCAACCAATTCTGAGGCTCAAATAGCTTTGATTCATTTTTGGCCAAAAGTTATGGAAGAGATAAAAAATATCACAACGGTTAGTAAAACTAAAATGAGTAAACATCAAATTTTCGATATATATAGCAATGATTTTTTTTATTTACGTAGATGGATTTGAAGACACAAACTTTACCTTTAGCAAGGATAAAAAAGATTATGAAGTTGGACGGAGATGTAAAAATGATAAGTGCCGAAGCTCCTATGCTCTTCGCCAAAGCTGCTGAGATTTTTATACATGAATTAACGCTCAGAGCTTGGGTGCATACTGAAGACAACAAAAGGCGTACTCTTCAACGAAATGACATAGCAATGGCAGTGACAAAATACGACCAGTTCGATTTTCTAATTGATATAGTACCTAGAGATGAAATAAAACAAAGCAAGGCACAAAGTGAGAGCTCTGTGCGCACAGCCATGAATTCGGATCAGGTCCATTATTATTTTCAATTAGCTCAGCAACAAGCTTCGGCAGGTCAGAGTGTTCAGAATAGTAGTAGTGGGCAGCCCATACAAATTGTTCAACCTTCTGGTGGCCAGCTACAAACAATTAACATTGGCAGTTCCGTAGAACAGGTATGTTTTGTCTTTTCATTTTTTTTTTTTTGTAATTTAAAACTAAGAAATTTCATGCGCATTCAATTAACTTTATATCATTGTCAATTTCAGGATACCAATACTAGTACAGCCCAAACAGTCACAGTTCAGAGTCCACAGCCGACGTCGGGTCAACAAATTATTCAGCTACAGCAAGCGCAACAAACATCTACGACGCAACCCGGTGGGATACAAATAGTGCAACAAATTGTTACGCCTAGTGGTGAAATTCAACAAATACCTGTAAGATAGAATTTAGTTGGATGAACTGTGTGTTAAATCGCGAACGCATATTTACACTATTTGTAATTGTTGCTTTGTAGATTCAATTGACTCCCCAGCAGCTGCAAATGATTCGCATGCAGGTACAAGGTGGAAACAATCAGCCTATTATAATTCAAACGGCTCCGATTCAGTCTCAACCGCAGTTGATACAAGTTGCACAAGGCACTCAGGCTCCAGTTTTCTTACAAGCCTCCAGCGCGGATACCGAATAGTAATTAATATTTAATATTAAGATTTATTAACTAAAAATATTAAATACATTTTTGTATTAGACACATTCACATTTTATGTGATACAATGAGATTTTAAGGAGGAGTTAGAAAACTCCAACTTTTTTATCTAACAATGATTATAAAAAGCGTTTTTATTTTCTACTTATAAGCAACGCTATACTGAATTTGCTAAGTAGTTTCTGCCTCTGATCTTGTTATTCAATTTTTCATGTTAGCTATATGTTACACATATATAGTTTATATATTATATATATGTGTATGTACATAAAATATGGATAAAATAGGTAACTATATCTATATCTATATTTATAGATGTAGATACCTATATTTTAGAATCTAAAAACTTTAGATATTTTCTAAAAATTTGAGAAGATCTCATTTCGATTTATTAATCGTTTATTATTCTTTCTGTTTAGTATCGAAGCTACTGTATTACCTTGTGTAAAATCAGGATATAAAATCTCGCAAATTAAATGCGACAAAGATCACTAGCCGAACACGAAGAACCACTAGTACTTATCGAGAAATAAGACCAAACTTTTTCTTACAAAAATCTTTATTTTATTTCTCATAATATACCTTTACATTTTATCGCTCACATTATGTATTTGACTGTACATAATTCACATCCTATGAAAAAATTATATATATTTTTATTGACGTAAAAAAAAAAAAAAAAAAAAAAAAA